TAGAAGGGACACCCTAGCATCATCTAGTCCAACTTCTGTCCCTGCACAGGACTCCCCAAGAATCCCACCCTATGGCTGAGAGCATTGGCCAAACACTCCTTAAGCTCTGTCAGGCTTGGGGCCCTGACCACTGCCCTGGGGAGCTGTTCCAGTGCCCAAACACACTCTGGAGGAAGAACTTGTTCCTAATATCCAACCTAAACCTCCCCTGACACAGCTGCAGCCATTCCCTCATGTCCTGTCACTAGTCACCAGAGAGAAGAGATTAGTGCCTGCCTCTCCCCTTTCCCTCGTGAGGAAGTTGTATACAGTGATGAGGTCAAAACATGATACTGTATAACCCCCTAAATCCCCCCCAATCAAACCCCCAGCACAGACCTCTCGGCTCTAGGGAGTGAAAGGAGAAAGAGCCCACAGCCTTGTTTCAGTAGTTTTTATTTCTAGCCTCCGTACATGTACCAGGTGAGGGATCTGCCCTGACTCCCAGCACACACATGGCCATGCACAAGCAGGGTGTTGGATTTCATAAGTTATGTCTCCCAGCCTGCCCCAGACTTCAGTGCAGCTCACACCTCACTGCTCGAGACAGAATTCTAATCAGAAAAGGTACAGGCAAGGTCTTCTGGTTGACACTGAAGCTATTTTCCTGGTCTATGCCTCCGTGTAGAAGCTCCTCAGTGGGAAGGACACAGGTGTCTCACCACCATCCACAGGGCTTAGTTTTTCTGGTAGTAGAACCATTTGTCAACTGTGTGGGGCAGAAGAAAGGAGGGGGTTAGTCTTCTGTTAGCCACCCAGTTATTAGGTAGTCATAGGGCACTGTGTGTGTCACCTCCAGCTCAGGAGCTTCCTCCTGCTCCTGGCAACAGCTCCACAGCGCAGCAAACAAGTTCTTGCACAGCCCTGTTAGGTGGATTTGTTTTCCCCAAGAAGACTCCCTCACTCAGGCTGCCATTAGGAGCATCCATAGGTCAGTCCAGGTGAGGACAGGGAAGGAGTTCAGGGAAGCTACCTTGGCTTTCCTCTGCCTCAGGTGGCTCAAGGAGGCAAAGCCATTTTACCTCCAGCTCTCATGCCTGCATGGCAGACATCCATTTCTTCACAGGTTTATTCCCCATGAAGGGATTGGGAGTGACAGCCTAGCTCCTCTTTCTGCCACACAGCTGTAGGCTCTCAACACTGTCCTTAGCTTGCCCTTGGGCTTTGCCCTGGCTACAGCCCAGATTTCAATTCAGGCCCTCATTTTCCTACTGATAATTCCCTTGAGGAAGTCCCTGCTCTGTGCTGGGACACAAAGGTGGGTTTGGAGACTTACCTTCAGGTGGGATGGGATTGGCAGCTTTACACGGTGGTGCCTGAAACAAGAAGGGTATAATGAGAGAGCAGCTGCTGACAGAGTTTGTCCTTACACCTAGAGCTCTCCAGACATCATCTGGGGCTGCACAAGTCTTTCCTGAGCACCATTTAAGATCCTGTGGCAGCCAGCACTGGTCAACTGGGAGGAAACAACCGAGTTCATGTGCAGTGTCCTGTCATCCCCACAGCCTCCTCATTCCAGAGATGCCCTAAGTGCTCTGCTCCAAGCACAGGCTGCAGTGCCATCTGCTTCCCACCACGAGCAGTTACCACTCCAGAGCCTATACAGGTGCTGACAGCTGCTTTTTTTTAAAGCTGCTTTTTTATGGAGCTTAGAGATATGGGGGATTAGAAGCTACAAGTGATTAGAAGCACAAAGGACTCTTGGAAAACTTCCCTGAAGAGTTTTCACTGGTATTTAACAACCAAAGACAAAGGAGGGTCCCCACCTGGTGACACATCTCCTGCTTTCAAACACCTACAAAGCAATTTGGAAGCCACCAGAGGATATTAGAGGTTTAAAAACCAAGACAGTGATTTGAAAAGTCTCTCTAGAGCTACAGAGAGACTCAGGTTTCCAGTCATGCGCCTATACACTGAGGCAACATTTGCATTTTGATTTTCCTGCCCCATTCCTCTAACCCCTTTTGGGTTACCAACAGCAGCACTTCACATGCCTACACAGACACAGTTCATTCCTGAAGCTGGATAGGAGAACAACACCAGGAACAACAAGCCTTTCATTCCAAAGGATCCCTGCCTGCAAGGCTCTGGGGAATTAGACTCTCTTTTCTCAAAGGGAAACCTGTCCTTTGAAGCTCTTGGAAGGCCAAATACTTAAACCCTCTCTGAGCAGCTGACAGCCAAACTATGGTTCATAAATTTAGCCCTTCATGCAAACTCTGTTTGGGATTCCATCTCTTGGATGACTAAGGGCAAGGAGAAGCCTCTGGAGGAATGTCTGGCTTGCTCCACATCCATCCTGTTTAACCAGAAACAGGTGCTGTGTTCAGCCACCCAAAACATCCTGAGCATGCAATGCGCCCTTCACACAGAGAGGACAGTTCATGGTACCACACAAATGGTGTCATTTGTCCTGACACTCAAGTCTGTACTTACTGCATCCACAGTAGCTTTTGCACAGTCTTGGCTACAGCAGAAAGGGCTGTCAGTCACCGTCAGGTTTGTGCTGGAAGAGACAGGGCACTCGTGAGAAGGTGCAAGCCAAGTCTCTCCCCCAGGAGCATTAAATAATGGAATATTAAGGATCACTGCTGTAGCTGCCAAGATGAGGGAGAAGGCCAGGGGAGTCAGCCAGCAGATAACAGAAAGCATGGCACCACTCAGGAAAGGAAGTTCCAGGGTTATTTGTTTAGGGAAAAGGGAGGTGCAGAGTTCCTCAAGCATGAACCTACCAGTTGATCTCTCCTCCGTCAGTTTTCTTGGCTATCAAAGCTTTCCAGTGCTCATGAGTGCCCTTGATGACATTCACAGCAAATTCCTAAGGTGGAAGATGAGAACAAACATCATGTTATGGAAGCACTAGACCATAGACTGATTTTAGGCTGTTCTGACTGTGAAAGGGACCAAAAGAAATCTCTTTTAGACCGTTCAGGAACAGCAGGGACCTCCCATCACACAACAGCTGAAACAACCAAGACTCTACCCTGTGAATTGTTTTACTTTTGAGATGGGAGGACATGCCAAGGTCACTGACAAGGCCAAAAGAAATTGAACACAGATACTCTAGTCTCGGGCCGTGCTGCATTAGAACAGCACCTCCAACGCACTGCTCCTCCCACTCGGGTTGTTTCCAGCAGCCTGCTGATCCAGACCTAGCTGGGAGCTTTCTTCCACTCCAGGCACGTAACTCAGACCAACAGGAAGAGACATGCAGCTAATCTAGCTTTGCAACTATTTACAAATGAATCTGCTTCCAAGCATAGCAGCTTCTCTCCTTCAAAGAGAGGAGTACATGCTCAAGTGTTAACCTGTCAGCTGGAAAAGGAAGCACATACAGTTCTTTGTCAGGGTGAACACTAGCAATAAATCAAATATCCTGGTTTGATACCACACAGAGCCAAACAAAACACTGCAGAGTATGTGGAAGGTTCTTTAGCCCAATTTTCTGGTTTCCTTGGTTCTGGTTTCACACATCCTGAGGGGCAGTGAGGTGGCCCAGCCCACTCAACCCTGTTCCAAAGGGGACAAGTCTTTGTGGCTTCCATTTTCCTTCCCAGACCAGGCTTTGGAGGCCTTCACATCCTCTGCTCCAACTCTGGAGCTCTGGGAGTCGAGTCACACTCTAACACCCCCATGGCACACTAGGTCTGGCTGGATGGAGGGCACAGAAGCAGCATTTCACCTGCTCAGGAGCAGTAAATGATGTGATCCAGCCCATAGAAAAGGCAGAGGAATAGTGCTGCCAAGGCAGGGCATGAGGGAACACTTCATGCCTGAAGGAAGAAGCGTTTTAACTCCTGAGTTACGTTCAACTTACACCAGGTTGCAGTGGAACAAAGCCAATGAGCAAGGGAGGCAAAGGGTGATGCCAAGCTGCCTTGAGAGCAGGAGCAAATGAACCTGGTGTTTTCTAGCCTGGTTCTGACACAGAGGCTCCAGCCCTGAAGTGATCCCACATGAGGGACAGCTAGAATTAATATTGATAATATCCAACTGATAATCTGCTGCCTTTTCTCCAAGTATTCCTGCAGTACTAGGCTGGAAACAAGCAGAGTGATAGGCTGGAAAAACAGGGAGATGACTGAAGTCACTGATCAGCAACCACATACAAATCCATTCTCTCAGTGACTGCTCACTTGTGTCCCCACACACCCTGAGCTCAGTTCTTGGACATTGTGCCTTTGCAGGCTCACAGGGTAACAGAGACATCCTACCTTGTTTTTAAATTCACCATTAAAAGCAAACTGGTTTTCTGGCTTTCCATCAGGTACTTTGTATCTTCTGAACCAGTCCACCGTGGCTTCTAAGTATCCAGGCTTCAGCCTTCTCACATCATTGATATCTGCCCAGGGAGAAGAGGTTTGTAGCCGAAACAGTAACCCTTAGCTCTACCCTGTTGTTCTGAGCTGTTCCTCTCCAGCCCTTCCTCAAGTTGCACAGTTTCATGCTATGTTAAGGGGTTGGAATGGAGCTTAGAGATTATCCAATGCCAATGACCTGGGCAGGGACACCTCCCACCAGAAGAGGTTGCTCAAGGCTTTAGCCAACCTGGCTTTGAACACTGCCAGG